GATTGAAGGGAAATGCAGTGCATGAGATTTTTTTGGTCATTATGCGTTTTTTGCAGCCAATGCAAAAACGCATATTGACGAGGATTGTCTGTGTGTATGTGTTTGCGTCTCTCACGCACTTTCATCTCAAGACCCATAAAAGCTGCAGGGCTGGGATTTCAGGAACTTAATCTACATGCCCGTGCCGGCCCAAATCCCCAAAATTGGCGCCATCACCCGCGTGGTACCCGCGTATGGGCTTGCCAAAGTTTTTTGGGGTAAGTTCATAACTCGGGGATCTGAGAAGCTAGGACGCTGAAATCTTAGGCCAGTGTTTTCCGTCCAAGTAGGTATTAACGAGTTCAAACCCTGCCCACGGGTAAGCGTGATACCTACGTACGAGCCCTTGAAAGTTTCTTCCGGGTAATTTGCTAACTCGGGAAAGTGAGAATCTAAAACACTGGGATTTTGAAGGGATATTTCCTGACAGTCCTGGCGAGCAGTCTGAAATTCTTTTAGTGAGAAGCATCTGCCAGGGAAACCAGTGCCGTTAGCGACAAAAATCTGCGGGGAGCCATGCAAGAAATGCAAGAAATGCATCTTCGCACGGGGAGCCCGTGCGTTGGCCAACTATTTACTTACGTTTTGTAGTGCCTCCTTTCTGCAGTGAAGCAAAATTTTTGTAAATTCAAGTAAAATTGGGAGGTCGATGTGCCAACAACAACAATGTCTTAAGCAAAGAACAGGAAAACTGTTATGAGAACTACAATCAGTGAGCTTCAGACAGTTCTATCACGTCTTATCAATTCACATCCGGATGTTCGACCCGAGAATTGCTGCATGTTGATTGCGCAACTCGATGGTACTCGATTCGTTGCTGGCTATCGTCGCATTGATGGACAGCATTACAGCAGTGTTACCGAACTTTTAAACTTATTGCTCAATTCGCCCACTTTGGTTGCCGAAATATTGCACAGTATCGATCAAATTTCAAAGGTATAATAATCCATTGGTATTTTTATTTCAGTTGTATTTTGACTGATATACTGTAATATTGAATAGAATCACTGAGGAAGAGCGTAATAGAGCGTAAATAATCTCTGCGATTCGTTTTGATGGTAAATTGGCACTGGCTTATTCGAGGACAACAAAAGGCCTTATTCTGAAACTTTTTTTCTTTTGTTTTTACATGTGCCTTTTAAATTTTAGGGCAACGAATCGCCGTTTGCCGAGTTGGTGCCCTGTATTTATAGCTTGGT